GACTCTGACTCTGTCTCGTTCTGACGCAGATCTGTTCTCGTGTTGAAAGGTAAGAGACACTTTTCACTGTTTTTTAAGACTCTCTGTTTGATTGAAGTGTCAAAAGAGCTGTAAGCTAACAGTTAGCCACCAGGTTCATTAGCTGCTCTGACTATAGTAAAGTGCAGGAACACAATGACTCTCAGTTAGCATGCAGGCTATGCTAACATGCTAACAGTACAGTTTTACACAGCAGAGGGAGGGCGTGGAGTCTGTCCTCATCAGTTAGGACTAAAAATAATCACTCCATCAGCTCAACTGGTTCCACAACTTCTCTGAAACTGGACGGTTGCCAAGCAACACAAACACTCCTCTGCAAGTCAAGTCAAGTCAAGTCATATTTATTATAGAGCACATTTAAAAACAGCTACAGCTGACCAAAGTGCTGTACAATACATGAAAAAAGAAAAAACAACTTGAGATCACAATGTCCACAAGAGAGAAATATATATATATGTTTACATATATACATATATAAAGAAAGAATATATAAAGAAAGCAACAAAGGAACCTGAAAGAAACGGTCTATTCAGGACCAGGGGACTCAAATGCTAAAATATAAAAGTATGTCTTGAGACAGGACTTAAAAGAGTCAACAGAGGGTGCAGACCTGATGGAATGAGGGAGGCCGTTCCACAGTTTAGAGGCTTTTACTGAAAAGGCCCGATCTCCCTTTAGCTTGAGCTGTGAGAGGGGAACAGCCAGGAGGCCCATGTCTGATGATCTCAGGCGCCTAGATGAGGTGTACGGCCTGAGGAGGTTGGTAATATAAAAGGGGGCCAAGCCATTCAGGGCTTTAAAAACAAACAACACAATCTTAAAATCGATTCTGAATCGTATTGGGAGCCAATGAAGGAACGCTAGGACAGGACTGATATGCTTCCTCTTCTTGGTTCCAGTCAGCAGCCTTGCTGCAGCATTTTGGACCAGCAATTGCAGTAGTCAAGCCGGGATGAAATGAGCGCATGGGTTACTGTCTGTAAGTCACTGAATGAGAGGATAGGTTTTAGCTTGGAAATTGTACGGAGCTGAAAGAAACTGGATTTGACAACTGGATTTACCTACCGATCAAATGTAAACCTGAGTCGAAGATAAAGCCAAGGTTCCTGTCGTGGGGCCTAATGTGGCTGTATAACTGACCTAAGCTGTTGATGCGGGGGGGGCAAAAACAACAGCTTCGGTTTTTGACTCATTTAATTGTAGGAAGTTATGGGCCATCCAGTGTTTTATGCCTTCAAGGCATTGTATAAGAGAGGTGAGTTCTGCGAGATTGTTTGGTTTGACCGGTAGATAAAGCTGAGTGTCATCTGCGTAGAAGTGGTATGAGAGGTTGTGCTTCTGGATAATTTGACCCAATGGGAGCATGTATAGTGAAAATATTAGAGGGCCTAGGATGGATCCCTGTGGTATCCTACAGCTCAGACCAGATTGGGAGGATGTGGCGTTAGTTAAGTTTACAGAGAAGGTTCTGTTGTTCAGGTATGATGTAAACCAAGTCAGGGCTGTGCCCCCAACACCAACCCAATGCTACAGGCGATTCATTAAAATTGTGTGGTCGACAGTGTCGAATGCTGCAGTAAGGTCCAGTGAGATCAGGAAAGCACAGTTTCCAGAGTCCATTGTAAGCAGAAGGTCATTGTGGATTTTGAGAAGTGCAGATTCTGTGCTATGGGCTGCTCTGAAACCTGATTGAAATTTGTCTAAAATACTATTATGATGAAGGTAGGGTAGCAATTTCTCCAGAATAACCTTTTCTAGCACCTTAGAAAGGAAGGGTAGTTTTGAGATGGGTCTGTAGTTGGAAAGTGGTATGGGGTCCAGGTTGGGTTTTTTTTAACAAGGGCTGCACTATAGCATGTTTAAATGAGGGAGGAACAGCACCAGTTGACATACAGCTGTTTATAATGGAGAGGATAAAAGGGCCGGTAATATCAAAGGAATCTTTGAGGAGAGCTTGGTAGGTACTATGTCACTGGGGCAGGTGGCAGATTTCATTTTAAAAACCGTCTCTTTGAGTGAGGTTAAGGTGATAGGCTCAAAACAGTTTAACTGGGCAGAGCAGTTGAAGGGCGGGGAGGCTGAGATGTGCCTGGTAGGGGCTGAGATATTTTTTCTAATGCCAGCAACTTTTTCAGTGAAGAACTTTAGGAAGTCTTCTGCTCTACTAAGGGGAGTGTCTAGAGAGGATCCAGGAGGGGGCAGGTGAGAGAGTTTATAATATTGAATAGGACTTTAGGATTATGGTGATCTTTTGAGATGATATCTGAGAAATGTTTTGCTCTCGCTGCCTTGACTGCAATTTGGTAGCTGATCAGCCGCTCTTTAAGGATGTCATGTGAGATTTGAAGCTTATCCTGCTTCCACTTGCGTTCAGCTTGTCTGCAGCTCCTCCTTAGGGCTCTAGTGGATTCAATAATCCAAGACTGTGATTTAGGCTTTGGTTTTTTTATCTTGAGAGGAGCAATATGGTTGAGAATTGAGGAGCAGGTAGCATTAAATAATTGAATGTGATCCTCAGTGCAGAGTTCAGTAGGAATATTTTCAACGGACAGAGTATCTTGAGCAGCTGAGAATAAACTGGCAGTGGAAGAGTTAATGTAACGAGAGTAAAGCATGGGGAGGAGACCATTTGATGACAGGTCAGAGAGAGACACATTAAAAATAATGGCACTGTGATCTGAAAGACAAGGGTCCATTATTTCCAAATTGTTAACAGGAAGACCACAAGACAAGACCAAGTCCAAAGTGTGGCCATGTTTATGAGTGGGACCTGAGACATGCTGTGCAAAATTAAATGATTCAATCAGGTTTAAAAATTCACCGACAAGTGGTTTTGATGGACAACATACATGGATATTAAAATCACCCAGTATTAAAATTCTTTCAAATGATGGCACAATTTGCGATAAGAGGTCTGCAAACTCAGTGATAAAATGTTTATCTGATTTTGGAGGACGATATAATATGATGATAAGAAGAGGGTTTGCTGTACCCACTTTGTTTTTAAAAACTGCTGCCCCCCCGCCCGTCCGGAGGGTCGTGGCGTGTTAAAGAAGGAACATTCATTTGGAGAAAGCTCAATAAGTGGACTTACATCATTGGAGTTCGGTCAAGTTTCAGTCACCAGAAGGAAATCTAGGCCCTGGGATGTGAAAAAGTCGTTAAGAATAAAAGTCTTATTTAGCACTGATCTGGCATTTATCAGAGCCAGTTTAATCGGGGCCGCATTACTGACGTGCGCTAGTGGCGTCCATGGCAGAGAGCGGAGGTTACTAGAGTTTACACCGCTGCAACGTTCAGTGGCAGATCGGGATTTTGAGCCTCGGTGATATCGGAAAGACATTTTTACTGGAATATTGAAAGTGCTAGAAGCCTCGGAAGTCCTGCAAATGAATTTTCGACGTGGAGCTCTGCAGAAGGGGACAGCTGATCTCTGCTGCACCCACAGCAGAGATCAGCACAGACCAGAGACCTTATTATGCAGCTCTATAAGTAGAATTACTGCAGTGAAATCACAGTGTGTGATTCTAGTAGATAGATTTATAAAGACAAACTCTGTCTGCTGTAGTTATTCTCTATGATCAGCTCTTATTGAATGTCTCCTTCCAGTCAGATAGCTGTGTCAGATTGATCTAACCAATGGGGATTCTTCAGTCTGTTGGGCCCCTTCACAGGGGGGTCCTCCAACCATTCATCACCAATATGTGATCAATAATCTGACACCTACAAAAAAGTGCTCTGTATAAACATTTATCTTCAAAGTTCACAGAAGTATTATTTCCAACATAAAGAACATCTCTCCCCGATAGTTAAGACTAGACTCGCAGCATTCGGTCATTTACTGTTACATTTCATCTTCACTGTCTGCTCCACCACTGCTCCTCTGTTTTCACTCTCAGACGGATAATTCATTTCATAGGAATAAATCATGTGACTCTTAGCAGAGCGATGAGAGTGAGTGCTGTCAGATGGGGCCCCCTTAGGATCCGATCACACAGAGACGCAACTCGCCTCAAAAAAACACCTGAACACAGCTGAGGAAAGAACAGCTGGGAGCGCCTGTGGAGCAGGGCTGTGTGTGCATACGGGCGACCAAATGAAATATGTTTGCTCCAAGAGGAGGAGGGGAAAATGTCATAAAAAGCTGAGGTCAAACCTACTTGATTTGATTGGCTACTTTGAGTGACATTGACGATCACTGCGACTCTGCTTCTTGATCAAAAAAGTTGAAAATGTTTAAACTTTTATGCGTACCCAAAAACTGCTAGAAAAATGTGTCTTGCAGAAACAAAGAAGAGCGCCCAGCAATCACGCTGGACCATAAGATAACCATGGTTTTGCTGGTGCTGCTTTCCCTTTTTGAAGGTGAACCAGGTAGATGTGATGTTTGTAGACTGACAGTGAGGTGATGATGATGATGATGATGATGATGAAGGTGAACCAGGTAGATGTGATGTTTGTAGACTGACAGTGAGGTGATGATGATGATGATGATGATGAAGATGAACCAGGTAGATGTGATGTTTGTAGACTGACAGTGAGGTGATGATGATGATGATGATGATGATGATGAAGGTGAACCAGGTAGATGTGATGTGTGTAGACTGACAGTGAGGTGATGATGATGATGAAGGTGAACCAGGTAGATGTGATGTTTGTAGACTGACAGTGAGGTGATGATGATGATGATGATGATGATGATGATGAAGATGAACCAGGTAGATGTGATGTGTGTAGACTGACAGTGAGGTGATGATGATGATGATGATGATGAAGGTGAATCAGCAGCTTCTTCTCTTTGTTTTCTCCACAGCTGAAGATCTTTGACTGGATGTGACTTCAGCAGCTGAACTCCATCAGTGTTGTTGTAGTGACAGAGTGCAGCTCTCCCAGCAGGGGGCGCTCTGCTATGGATCAGTGTGAGGACACAGAGGAGGGAGTCCCTCCCTCTAAAACCTCTCTGTGTGAGGAACATGAAGCTCTGAGGTGAGGATCTCTAACTGTCCATGGCTGTATCCAAATTGCCAAGTACCTACTCAATCTGTCAGTAGTCAGTACCTACTATCCGTGCTGTATACTGTTAGTACCTACTATTCAGTAGGTGCACGTAGGCAGATATTTGTTCCAACTTGATTTATTCAGTATGGAAGTGACGTCATTTACGTTACCCAAACCGGCCGCATACACCGTTTCTTTTTTTTTAAGCTTTATTCAAGAAGAGTAATGCGCATACAGTCAGGTAAACAAAACAATATCACAAGTAAAAGACAGATTAAATAACTAAATAACATACAGTAGCCCAAAGAAAAGTACAAATGAAAGACAGTAATATACAGAATATAAAGTAAAACAAACCAATAAAGACACATTTAAATAGTGAAATCATTATTTAAATAGAGGGGGAAAGGTTTTATAATAATGCAGACATCTGTTTTCTGTTCTTAATTAAAAGTATTGATTTCAGTCGGGACATTAACTCTAGATTAAATTCAATTAATCCACGCTCATTTGTTTTGATTTGGAGGTGAACGTGAGGTGACGATTTACATTTAATTTCGCACAGCATTGTGGGTAAAATACAATTCATTTCCTGAAAGCACGCATCCGATCCATACTGCATAAAACCAGGAAGTTAGTATTCATACTGAAATGTTCAGGATACTGAGGTGGACCCAAAATATGCATATTGAATGACCACGAGAGTTTACTGAACTGTGGCTATTCGGAAAGGGCCCAGCACTCACATCACTCCACCTTTATCATCATCATCATCATCATCATCATCATCACTGTCTCATCTGCTGCTCACAGTAACTAATAATGTTGTTTTTTGTATCAGGATGCAGGAACAGAGACCAGACTCTCCTGGACCCAGCTGTGTGTCCATGAAGAGTGATCGGTCTAAACTTCTTCCAATCTTCTTTAAAGATGGACGTCCGGCTGATGGAAGGTGAGATTTGAAATTGACAAAGAGCTCTGTTCTGCTTTTCTGTAGGCTCACTCTTTCATCCTCAGCCATTTACATCTCTCTCAGTCTTCAGTCCATGTTCACCTCTCCCAGGACTCGTACTTTTCTCCTGTTTCTCCTACTTCTCCACCAGAGGTCCTCAGAATTCACCTCCTTCTCTTCTAGGTTTCAATAGCCCAGACCTTCCCTTCTACTCTACTCACCTGTCTTCATTTTCCTCATCAGCTTCATTTAGTTTTCTCACCACTTCATGATCATTGTGTGCTTTGGTTCTATCTTGTGTTTTTTAATTTGAAGTTTTTGTTCTTGAATCCTGACCTTCCTGAAGGCTGTAAAATGTGGAAAATAATCATTTTATTGCAGCTGTGAGTCCATTTTTTTCTGCATTTGGGTCCTTCCCTGCGCCCTATTTCCCCGACCCTGTCAGAACTTAACCTGCCTGACACAGAACCATCCCACAGTGTGATGGACTTTATGACTTCAAAGCAAAAACAGCCCTACTAGAAAGAAGCTAAATATTCTGAGACAAAGTCAAAATAATAGGCCAAACCTTAAAAAGAGACAAATCTGAGGAAAGATTTTTTTTTGGGCTGTATCATGAAGACTGCAGACAAAGATCTTCAAAGCTCTTGAGTGTTTTTTACAAACCTTGTAGGATCCATATTCTGGACTTCCTCACAATATAAAAACTACTGTGATGGTGCAAGCAGCACTTATTCCCATCTGAAGTGATGTCAGTCTGAAGACTTTGTCCCAGAAGTGAGTTCCAGGTTGAGGTTCCTGAAGTTGTTATGGACAAGTTCTTGATCTTGATCTGTTCTGTATCCTAACAGTAGTTGCTGCTCGTTGTAAATGCTGCTCGGTCTCTAAATGTACTATGAGAGGTAGAGCCTTCAGTTATCAGGCCTGCTCGTGGTACCTACAGTCTCTAAATGTACTATGGGAGGTAGAGCCTTCAGTTTTCAGGCTCCTCTCCTCTGGAATCATCTTCCAGTGGGGTACGGGAGGCAGACACACTCTGTATTTTAAATAATAGATTTAAAAGTATTTATAAATTGTATAGTGAGGGCTGGCGCTGGTGTAGACCAGCTCCTAGTTATGCTGCTATAGGCTTAGACTACTGGGGGAACTGGCACCTTGAGCTCCTATATCTCCCTCCCTGTCTCTCTCTCTCTCTCTCTCTGTGAGATCATATTACTGCATGTTGCTATCTGTAAATCTCAGTTACTAACCACAGCATCTTTCTGAGCTGTGTTTATGTTTAAGTCGTCTTCTGTTTACTTTAATTTCATCACTCTAAAGAATTTGAGGACAGACACAGTGTTGGCTGTATTCTGAGTGAGATACTGTGCTAATAGAAACAGAGAGAACTGTGGAGAACTTCACCTCTGCCTCCTGATTACTGATTATCCATCTGCCAGTTTAAACTGGAACAATCTGATTAAAAATGATCTTTGTTCTAAATGCTTTCATTAACCAGCTGTTTTTTTGTATCAGGATGCAGGAACAGAGACCAGACTCTCCTGGACCCAGCTGTGTGTCCATGAAGAGTGACTGGTCTAATGGTCGTCTTATTGACTTTAAAGATGGACGTCCTGCTGATGGAAGGTGAGATCTGGAATTGACAAAGAGCTCTGTTCTGCTTTTCTGTAGGCTCACTCTTTCATCCTCAGCCATTTACATCACTCTCAGTCTTCAGTCCATGTTCACCTCTCCCAGGACTCGTACTTTTCTCCTGTTTCTCCTACTTCTCCACCAGAGGTCCTCAGAATTCACCTCCTTCTCTTCTAGGTTTCAATAGCCCAGACCTTCCCTTCTACTCTACTCACCTGTCTTCACTTTCCTCATCAGCTTCATTTTGTTTTCTCACCACTTCATGATCATTGTGTGCTTTGGTTCTATCTTGTGTTTTTTAATTTGAAGTTTTTGTTCTTGAACCCTGACCTTCCTGAAGGCTGTAAAATGTGGAAAAGAATCATTTTATTGCAGCTGTGAGTCCGTTTATTTTTACATTTGGGTCCTTCCCTGCACCCTATTTCCTGACCCTGTCAGAACTTAACCTGCCTGACACAGAACCATCCGACAGTGTGATGGACTTTATGACTTCAAAGCAAAAACAGCCCTACTAGAAAGAAGCTAAATATTCTTAGACAAAGTCAAAATAATAGGCCAAACCTTAAAAAGAGACAAATCTGAGGAAAGATTTATTTTTGGGCTCTTTGTTTAGACGAGACACTAGATAGATTTGTAAATAAAGGAGAGAGAGAATGGGGAATGACATGCAGGAAAGGAGCCACAGGTCGGATTTGAACCTGAGCCACCCACTTGGAGTGCTACAGTCTCCCTGCATGGGACACTCACACTAACCACTAGGCCACCAGCACCCCAATTAAAGCATTTTTATTGAATGAACATTTTTGTTTTTCCCTCAGGTAGAATGAAAGTCCTCTCCTTCCTCACTCCCAATGATGACCAAAACAAACAGACATACTGTCCACAATATCAGATTTCATTCACTGAGAGTCTGCTTCTGCACGTCCATTTTAAAGACTTAAAAGTAACTATACATTTTATAGTCAGGGCTGGCGCTGCTGTAGACCAGCTCCTAGTTATGCTGCTATAGGCTTAGACTACTGGGGAACTGCACCTTGAGCTCCTATATCTCCCTCTCCTCTCTCTCTCTCTCTCTCTCTCTCTCTCTCTCTCTCTCTCTCTCTCTCTCTCTCTCTCTCTCTCTCTCTCTCTCTCTCTCTCTCTCCCTCTCTCTCTCTCTCTCTCTCTCTCTCTGTGAGATCATATTACTGCATGTTGCTATCTGTAAATCTCAGTTACTAACCACAGCATCTTTTCTGTTAACTTTACTTTCATCAGTCTGAAGAATTTGAGGACAGACACAGTGTTGGCTGTATTCTGAGTGAGATACTGTTCTAATAGAAACAGAGAGAACTGTGGAGAACTTCACCTCTGCCTCCTGATTACTGATTATCCATCTGCCAGTTTAAACTGGAACAATCTGATTAAAAATGATCTTTGAAACAAGATCCGGGTGTGGTTAAAACGATGAGTAGGTTCGTTTACACCCTGGTGAAACCAATAGAGTCTAATAATGACATGAAAGCTGTGCTAAGGCTATCATTATCAACATCCACATGGATATTGAAGTCACCTACAACAATTATTCTATCACTGCTAAGGACTACATTTGATAAGAATTCTGCAAATTCAGATAGAAATTCAGAATATGGCCAGGAGGGCGGCAAACTACAAACAACTAGAACTGGCTGAAAGGTTCTTGAGACTGGATGTGAAAGACTAAGAACAAGGCTTTCAAAAGAAGAAAAATTCAGCCTTGGTCGAGGGTTAACTAGAAGACTAGAATTTTTTTTTTTTTTAAAGATCCTGAGAGCACTGAGCTGTTATTGTTGTGTGGGTGTAACAGAGAATCTATTGTCCTGAAAAGATGTCTGGGCTGTTTATCAGGTTTGAGAAATATTCTTGCCTTTGATTTTCGGATGGCTTTGTTGTAGTCTTTTATTGCTTCTACAAGTATATTTTTTATCAATTTCTATTTCTGTTTTGCAGTCTGCAGTCTCTCTTAAGTGCATTGGTCGCATTGTTTTTCCATGGAACGACCTTTTTTGTTTTTACTGTCTTAGTTGTGATTGGGAGCAGCATCAAGCACTGTCCTCAGTTATAATTAAAATCGGTAACAAGTTGTTCACAGGATGATGGTAAGGTGGTATTTCTGTAAGATATTAAGAGTTGTGGCTACTTCAGGGGTAATGTGCCGTTTGTTAACTGTACGTTCTATTGCACCTGGAGGAGAGTGATAAAAACTGTTAAAAAAATATGTCGGCCCGCACCGGCTACAGGTGGCTGGCTAACTACTGCTGCATACGATGACTCTGACTCAGCTGTGCAGAGCCATCTCTCTAACTCAGACACCCTCGCCTCCAAAGCTAAAAATAAACTACATTTCTTAGATTATCACTAAAGGAGACGAGGAGTAACTTAACATCTGACACGTAAGCAGGAAGAGAGCAGGAGAGGGAAAGACAGAAAACAAAGCCATTGTAAATAAAGCTAACTGCTAAGCTAGGCTAAGAGTAGGTAGCTAAAATAAACAAAACTTTTAAGCAGGTTTGTCGCTAGAGAGAAAGAGTGCTTTTCGATCACTTCTGTTTGTCTGAACGTACAGTGTGTTGGAAACAACAGTCGTAAGAAACTAGGACAAAATTAACAATTAAGCTTTTAGCTCTAACGATCAGCACTGAACAACACAATACAGCGGAGAACAGGAAGTTATGCAATACACTCACCTGTAGTACGTAGCACGTAGCAGCCCCTGATGAAGGTGAGAATGAAGTAAATGTTATGTCTCTGTTGTTTAAAGACTCATATCTTGGCTCAGAGTTTCATTATATATATCCTGTTGTTTTCTTGTG